CAGATAGGGTAGTTTTTGCCATTATGTCATCAAACCATGTCTGGGCAGAAGAAAGGAGACAGCACTTAGGATCTTTCCCTTGCTCTTAGTGAAAGACTGACCACAACGGCCCTGAAAATCATTAGGGAGGCGGCGCTTTCAGCCGCAGCTCTTTGCAAACCAGCTGAGCCTCCGAGCTTGCTTTGAAGTCTGAGCAGCAGCATCGCTCACGTCACAGCGGAGAAACTGAGGCAGGGAGGCCGCGCCAAGCGCCCGTCGCGCAGCCAGCGGCGGGGTTCAGGCTCCCGGCTCCTGCTCTTGAGGTTGCCCACCCTGCTGTCGGTTAGGGAGGGCTCCCCTCGACTCGCCTGCTGACATCTGCGTTCTGGCCACTGCATTTGTCCACTCAGAGAGAGTGGAAGGAGAATAGTTCCCACCTTCTACTGTGCTGGGATTCTCCCAGTGAGCTGCTCCTGGGGAACCTGACTCCCTTTTCAGAGAATTGGTACGGGCTGGACCTGGCAGATCATACACAGAGAAAATCAGAAGAAAAAGTTGGGTGAATATATGCCCTGGAAGCCACTGAGCCTGCAGCCCCCTCCCACATAGGCCACAGCCTGACAGGCTCCCCAAAGTGCCCTGCGATGCCAGGGCTACCTGACTTACTGTACTGAACACAGTTGTAAAAGGCTGCACAAAATCCAGGGTAAACACCAGAGTGCAAGCTGGAGCTGTCTCCAAGGAGCCTTAACTCACGCACTATCCCATAAAACTCCCAGGTAGGGAAATGAATGAAAAGTCTGAATGTCTTCTTATTCCATAACCCCCTCGTGGTAAAGTATTCGGCACTCAATGTTCCCATTGTCCAAAATGCACAGGGAAATAAGATTAACTTGAGGCGGAATATCTCATTTTCTCCTGCATTATTTTCTCCAGCCAACTCAAGCTTGTTGGTTTGGCAGCATCCAGGGCTCTCTGAAGTGAGTTTTTGAAGGCTGACTGAGTTAAGCTTGGCACAAACACACACCAGTCCATGCCATACCCTGTCCCCAGGTGCAGTAGGTAGGAGAACAGCCCCCCGCTCCTGTTTTGCCTAACAGCTGAACTGTAGCACTCGAGCCCCTTCTTTCCCCTCAACGCAGCCTTTGCAGCAGGCAGTCTCAGATATTTTTCAAAGCTCACAAACACCATGTGACATACAGTGATTAACTGCTATCACCGCTCTGGGGGCTTTAAGGAGGAAAAACACAGCTAGGAGAAAGTGGATGCAAAGCAACTCACAACGTGCTCTGCCCCAGAGGGTAATGGGCAATTCCTAACCCTCGGCCCCAAAAGCCAGGGGATAAAACACTGGAGGCCTGTATTTCTAAGCAAGGCAAGGTGGTGCAAAATCCTGAAGATAACATGGCCGCTGCGACAACAGCACGTGAGATGGGGGAGGATGCAGACATGACCTACGGGACCACCTTGAGCACCCAGCTCTGGGGAGCCGGGTCCCCTTGGTGTGGGAAGCACAAACTAGGAGACACTGGGAGAGCCTAGAGCAGCCAGCCAGGCCAGCAGCATGAACACACCTGGACAATGACGACCTGCTCCTCTTCTGCCCTAGCCCCTGTGGGCAGCTTTTGCTGGGACACACACCCGTGAGAACAGCAAGCAGTAATGGCAAGGGCATCACTGGGAGCACAAGACAGCACCAGAGAGCTACAGAATAGAGCCCTGCGTGAGGTGGGGAAGGAGGGATGCAGGCAGGGCTGGCCCATGCTCTTTGTCTTCTCTCAAGGTTTTGATTTCCTACAGTTCACACAGAAGTAACCCATGAGCCAGCACTGCTGGTCTCAAAGGCTATTGATGATGGGCGAGGTGTTCTATTACTACTTCTCTTCGCAAAATAATCCAAGAAATTAGATGCAAACTCCTCTGCCTCAGCAGACTTATCTGGATTGCCAAGCAAAGTACTGAACACTAGTGCTGGGCTGGACTTTTTATACAATCTCAGCTTGGTGTCCTCGTTAGTAGCCTTCCACAATGGTAGCTCCTCCTTGCTATAAGACCATAGGAGATTTTCTGTCCCACTCTTGCTTCATCCAGCAGGTAGCTCCATTTTTGTTGTTGTCCTAAGTTTGGCTTATTTGGCACTCAAAATCACAAATCTACAAAGGCGTTTTATGTAATACATGAAAGAATATAGAAAAAATATTTCCCCTTGTGTTTTCAGTTAATATCTGGGAATCAGACTCCAATTAACTCTATATTCTCAGTACAACCATTGAAATATAACGTAACTATGTTATCTGGTTTTGGTTTGTTTGGTTTATTATTGTCTGGATAAGCATATAAGCACGAATCTCCCTAATCCCATAACCAAACTAAATGTGGAAATCAATCCCAAAGACCACGTGTCCACTCTGATGCCCACCTCGCCAGCACTTTACGTGCAGAAATGAGTAATGAGCACTTGTGTTAGCCTGCAAGCTGCAGTGAATACTCTGGGCAGAAGAATTTTTAGATGAATCTCCACAGCACTGCAATTTCAGCAGGCTTCTTCAGCAGGCAGCACACAACTCTCTCCAGTTCCAAATGTAACCCTCAAGGAACACATGCATAAATTATAATGTATTCACTAGGGAAGTCTCTGAAATCCTACAAAAAGGGGTAAATGCATTTTAGGGGGCAGTTTCTTTCACTGTCTGCTCTTAATTAGAATTTCAAACCAGGAATAATTAATGGCTAAGTTGTGATCAACATTTAGTCATTATTAAATGGAAAAAATAAAACAATTCCTACATGGAGAAAATAATCATTTGAAAAATGTGGACAACTTGTTATCTTAAACCTTTTGATCAGATATTTTTGCGCATTTAATGTGATGGAGTTCAGCCCAAAGAAAATGTTGTGAGAACCTCTAATTCAAATACATGCTCTAACCTCTAATGTATTCACATACTGTTCATTCACTAAAATAATCCAGCAGAGATGTCTGAGAAAACACTAACAGGTCACTGTGGAGGAGAGAGGGTGAGAGGCAGCAGTCCAGACCAGCCCGGGCCGTTCACCCCCTGCCTTGCCCCTTTGCTGGCATCGGCGTGCCTGTGCCCCTGCACCACCAGGCAGGAGCAGCTTTCAGGCTGCATTCGCTACCCAGCGAGAGAACAGGCGCCAGGGTGGGCTGATGTGTGGGCAACCACACAAACCTGGTGGACCTGCTGGAGCGCAGGGCGATGAGCAACATGGCTGGGACCTGCCAAACACAGACAACCCTGTACACATCCAAATCCTGTTTCCAGGAGCAGCCAAGAACTGACCCTCTGCTGTACAAAAGGAGACAACCAGCCCAAATACAGTTCTGGGTGTGCAGCTTTCCACCTCTTCCCCTGACTGTACACCTTGTTTTTTCTTCCATTAACCCAACACTAACATTCACAAAATATCACATAGCTCACAACAGGAGATGCAGGTTTCTATAGATTCATATGTTTGCAATTACATATTCATGCTTGTAACAAACATGTGTGTACTTGAGTACCTCCCAGCAGACATCAGACTCTTCGCTTGTCCAAAAACTGGGTACGTTAATTACTGACATAACCTTGCTGACACAAGATTTACAGAAGAGGCTAGTCTGACCTAATACATTTAAGTGGATACTATTAAAACCAGTATGAAAACAATGCAATACTACTGATATCACTAGTTGAGTTACGAAGCGGGTTCTTGTGCAGACACAGTAGCAGCTGTGAGCCATAACATCAATTCAGACCTGCCCTGGGTCCTCTCTAAATCACAGAAATGCAAGTGGCCAAAGTCTGAAACTGTTTTTCAATGTTCTCCTCAATTCCCCTGCTTTTACCTCTGGGTAATTTTTTATTTTTTATTTTATATTTTTTTGCCAATTCTGGCTTGGCTGTTGCCTCTTCAAGGTTTGACGGATAGGATCTCAAGGACATGGGGGAGGTACAGCACAGTCATTTTCTGCCACAGTCATTTTATTGGCTCTGGTCAGAATCTATTTGCAAATAGAAGAACAGCTCTTGACACTCTGAAGGAGACATAATTTCCTTGCAAAAATGCAGTCTCCAGCAAAAGTAATCAGCTTGCTAGTGGAGTGAAATTATTTAGTGGATTCATTAACTCCCTCCAAGGCAGGAGGTAGCAGCACACGGACAGCACTCACCTCGTGGCGGTCGTAACTCAGTGATGTTCTCGGTGGCTTCATCATCCGAATCTTCAGTCGCCACTACCTTGTATCTGTTGCTGCTCTGCTTGTTCAGAAGATGGGGGACTTGCAGCGCAGCCTCTCGCTCTGCAGCCAGGTCCAGGTCTTGCTGGGCAAGGTGAGCCCGCAGCTGTCGGATTTCAAACTACAGGGAAAAACAACACAACTGATATGACACAAATGAGACTGGAAGTCTGTATTCTAGAGGTGAGGCCTGTTACCCAGTTCAACTTTAAGCTGCTGGAGGCCTGAGTGAAGACCCATGAGAGCAAACATGTGGTTGAGCTGGTACACAAGTCCAAGCTGCTGATGCTCTCCCAGAGCTCCTACGATCTTGTGTATTCGCCACATCATCCAAAAATAGCGGCTGCCTTCTGCTCCTCATCACACTTCTGCATGCTGCAAATAGGCTTTTGGACAATTTCTGACGGAGGGAACTGCTCGATTATTTGAAAACTTTCTAGAAGATGACCCTTAACAGCTGCGTAAGTTCTTGAAACACATCCCTCACAGGCCTGACTTTGTACAGAGGATTTCCATGGAGGCAGGATCTCGGAGTAATGCCCAGTTTTGGTTTCCTCGCTGCCTAGGGCAGGACGAGGGATGCTGCAGTTCCCTTCCACCCCAAAGCCTTCTGTGCTCACGAGCAGGAAATCCCGGGGCAGGGTGCCATTTTTCTGGAGCAAATATGTGGGCCAGGACAATTAATGGCCTGCTGCAGCACGGGGGAGCAGCTTCATGACTGCTGTTATAAAACAGACGCTGACAAAAAGGCACAAGGGGACCAGCAACGACCTGACAGAAGCAGCGCACTTCTGTGCTTGAGAGCCACAGATCTTCCATAGCACAAGGAGGAAAATCCTCTCCTGGAGAGGCTGCAGGGACCCTCTAAGCCTTTCCATAAGAACCGTGAAATCCCAGTGCCAGAGCCGGCTGGCAGGGAGTTCTCCTTTTCAAATGCTTTTTAAGATCTGTCATGCAGCAGTGACCAAGTCTTGTCTCATGACAGAGCCTGAGAAGGAAAAGCAAATGAGGCGAGTAATAGGCCAAGGCATCTAAAATTCAGCACTGCTGGGCCTCCCCTCGTTGAAGCAGGCAAAGCCGTCGGCGCCTGTCACTGCGGTGACGGCAGAGCCGGTGCATAACAGCACTTTGCTGCTCAGGTGCCGACTCGAATCTGTCCTGCTGTCAGGGCCGGGGGGCTGCGCGCGTGACCCAGCGCAGCGCCAGGCGCTCGCGCCAGCAAAGGCAGGGGAAGCGAGACGCAGCTCCCAGGGCTTTAGAAAGGAGAAGAGAGGAAAGAAACAAAACAAGAGATTCCAGCTTGCTCTATCTGGAGCCTGACATGTGCTTTCCAGAGCATAAGCAAAGGAGCTTACAGGAACTGCAGAGCTCACTGTAAGACTCAAATCTAGAGAGCAAAAGGGCTGTTTAAGCCCTCTGGGTTACTCTCAAACTGACTAAACAGGAATTTAACACAACCCACAGCTTGTTGTCTCGAAATCAGTGAACACACTGGGGCAGCTGGTGCATGAAACACCCGCTGCTCTCCAGCAAGGTACCTCCCAGGCAGCCCTCAGAGGCCAGGGCCACCTGCAAACGCCAAATACAGCCCTGTCCACGGTCTCTCCACTGAGCCCTCCATGGGGCAGGTCCCAGCGGGTGCGTTTGGTGTTAGCCAGGAGGCTGTTCTGCTCTCCCTGCCGCTGCGAGCGCCCCAAGGTGCTGGGTGCTGCTGTGGCTGCACAGTCCAAGTGTGCCGCACAGCAGCGGAAGGGTTGCTCCAGAGACCGATGCTACCTGTCTGCACCTAATGCTCACTCTGAAACAGAACCCCCTCAAATATTTCCTATTTCACCTTAAAAAGAAGGAAGTTTCCCTTTCAGAGACCCCCCTGCTTTAAAAGGAGAAATACACTCAAAAACAATAGTAAAAAAAATCATTTGGAGTTTTTTCCAAAGATACTGCTTAATCACACCGACTTGCCTAGCTCCAATTGAAAGGCAGTCAGAAATTGGCATTGTTACTGTCCTAGTACAGCTCACATTTCACCCTTCAACATTTGCCCTGACAATAACATTGCCCCTGACATGCATAATTCTGGCCTAAAAGAAGGATTTGATTTTTTTTTTCTTGGAATATAAAACAAATAAAATAAATAATGGCAGGTACGAAGCAAATAGATAAAGCTATTTAAAGGCGACCTCAACAACACATCATCACATTATACTTCTACATCTCACCCAATTTGAGCAGCTTAAGCATTTACAATGATTGGCTGAACTTTGCAAGGACCAAAGGCCTGAAGAGCATTGTTACATTTTGGAGATGTGAAGAAAGAAGCATATAAACAAAAACTTCCCTGCCACAGTGAACCTATGGCAAAAATGAGGAGAGAAATAAGACTTATACCCATTTGTCTGTGCCAAGCAATAAAGGAAGAGTTTCCAAATGTTTTGAATGCACAGATATTGTCAATACTTAACATTTCTATGTGCAGTCACCATCCAGTTTTTAATAGATGAGTTCATAAATTTTACTGTTTAATACAGCTCTGCCAACAAGCTACAAACTGCTCAGCCTGGCTTGCTGGCCCAGCAGCACTCTGCGGTCATCACCTCATGTCACCACACTGGACAACTGCATTTAGTCCAAATAAATCTCTATCAAAAATAAGAAAAAATATTACCTTGATTGAATCACAACACAAAAAATGAACACCCCAGGTGACAGGCTACTACTGCTGCAAACATGAACAACAGAAGAGGCTTTGCTGCCATCTTATGTTTAAAGGACGGAAATACATGCCTAAACCACAGCCCAAGGAAGCACCTGCTTCTCAAATAAAACATCCTGGAAGAAACTGAAACCTAGACCTGCTGTCCAGGCTCAAGCAACGCTTCTCTCATCCACTGCCCAAGTATGAAAGGCACATACAGGGCTTGTAACTTTTAAGTGATATGTGAACTCAATTTTATGGCTTGCTCCAAACACAGTCCACATGTCCACCCTATTCTCAGTTTTACCTTTAAGTCCAGCTGGTCTAGAATCCCAAACCGCAGATGAGCTGTCAGGCAGAGCGGGGTCTGACCCCGATGGCAGAGCAGAGCAGCCCCGCGCGTCGGCTTCGTGTGCGCATTGAGCAGCAGCACCCGGGGACGTGCCGGGAGATCGCAGCAGAAACGCTGCGCTCCCACGGCCCCCACAGCTGCAGCTGGGCAGCACGGGCTCTCCCATCCTTCCTTCATCATGGATGGTCTCACCATCCTCTTCCAGGTCCCTCCTGGGT